TATAAAACAAAAACAACAATCAACAAATTTTTAAAAACAAACCTTTTGGTCCGGTCGTATACTATGCTTATGGCTGTAGCCCTACACAGCCGTATGTAGTACAACAAGTGAACATCAGTGGAGATTTCGTAGGCAATTATGCCACTAATACCTGATGACAATTGTTATATAGTGGCATAATTTTATAACATCTGTCTATTGCAAACATCATCATGTCATGGAGAAAGACAAATTATTATCACCATACCACATTATAATCCCATGGAAAGAAGGAAGCAGAAACCTCTAGTTCGAACACGGAACTAAAGAAGTATAACTTCTTAGGTGTGAGGTTAGGCTTACATAAGTACATATGTACACTTTTTATAGTGTATGAAAACTTCGTATAACATATAGTATATTTTCTTTAAAATTAAACCGCGGTGCCCAATCTTTCTTTCGTAGACATCATGGTAATAAACATTCTTGTAATCGCAATGACAATAACCAACTTTTACTAACGAAAAACAAAACAAACTTCAATTATCTCGCTCTGTATTCATTTTATAATTGATTTCCGGAGTTCCCTAGGTGTCTCCGGAGCCCAAGATCCAATACCAATGAAATTTAAAAAGAATCATCAAAATCGATTTACTCGGTGAGAATTTCTGAGGTAACAAACAAAAAAAAATGCAATCGAATTATGAACCTCCTTTTGAAGTCGGTTAAAACTATGCGGATCGTAATTGATTTAATCATAAATACTTATAATATAGTGTACATTAATTTAACATCCTTTACACCCATTTACAAATCGTTACGTGTACCCGATAAACTGATGCGCAACTTTGCAATACGCGTAGACGAAGCGTTGCGATCGATTAATTTTAATGACTTGTAAACATTAACCACGCCGATTGAATCACCCAAAGCGAGACAAATTAATTATAGTTACAAATAACACAAAATATGTCGTTTAATCCGACCGCTCGCGACGGCGTTGTGGTGCATAATCCAAATTAAAGTTTCTGTATCCCAATTAGGTAGCATTAATAATTATATTCGCTATGTCGTGATAGCATGTGAGTGTACATAGTGACTGTAAGTCAGCCTTTTCTTCTTATTTGATCTTTATTAAGTACACCTTCATGCGATTTTTAATGATTAGAAATATGTCTTTATAATATCAATATTGATTGTTCCGCCCAGGAGGCGCGGCCCGAATAATCTAAAACATTAATCAATCAATATTAAGCAGGAGTCAAATAAAATTGCACGCAGCCTGATTAAATATGATAAAATGAATCTGAACTTATGCAAAATGGCTGGCGGTGGCTTATTTTGCTATCAAACACACTAACACTGTTCAACACACAATATTTTTTTAATAGTGGGGATCGAACCCACACCCTCTGGCGCAAGAGCCAAGGTTCAATACCCGAGGTCTCGAAATAATAGTGGGCTGCGATGGCTCATTGCTAGGTTGCTCGCTTTTTATTAAAAATGTATTCTAGCAACCCGAGTTCTAATTCCGATGCCAAATACCTGTAAATTCATTAGGTCCAATATTAAGAGCTGATATGCCACGTGCCAGGTGGTAAGGAATACATTGCGTATTTATGTCCGTTAATAAATACTCAATGTATTCCTCACCTGTATATCTTAAAAATAATTGAAAGAGAATGTCGAAGATATGTGTAGTATGCAAATCCACATTAGGGTCACGTGGCGGACTATGCCCCTATACTAACTGCCTGGCCTGCCCCTATATTTATAGATTAACATAATTATATAGAAAGAAAAGGACAATAAAAAGAAGTTACTTTACCTGAGATAGGATTTATCATGATCACGACTATTGAAATCTCTAAAACTTTTGTGACATCGTTTACCCTTGCTAACGACAGTTTTAACGGTTTACCCTACCTAAACAGGTTTGTGGCAGCTTTCCGAATCTAGTTAGAAAATTATCTCATGAGCAATAAATCTCACTAGACTCAAAACGAATCGGTACAGATAGAAAACGCTGATCAATAAAAACATGACATAAAATCGAATGTCCTTCCTTGGTTTGCTTGGGCCAGTTGCTAAGTTATATGACTCTGCGCTGTCAATCGTTGTTGAATTAAATTTCAAGACAGGTATTTGCATTAAACGATAAAACAAATTATTGTTCCGAATCTGTGTGCCAACTTAAAATTATCTTTGTAAAATACCTCTGCAACGTGCCATGTTATCGTAAAACAGAAGTAATAAAATAGGAAGAAATATAGGTGATATTTATAAATATTCCTTTTAGCAAAATGTTTAAAAAAAAGTAAAGTAGGTAAGGGCCTCCTCTATACAGAGGGTTATCAGGGCATAGGGCACCACGCGGCCTCACTGCGGATTGGCGGACTTCACATATCTTCGAAATATATTTTTTTTGTTATTATTTCGAAAATATGCAGGTTTCCTCACTATGTTTTCCTTCACCGCGGAGCACGTGATAAGTCAGCACTTAAAGTTAAAAACTTCATTGGTGCCGGCACCGGGGATCGAACTCAGGTTGCTCGAGTATATTGAAAGGCGAGCGCCCGGACACTGAGCTACCATCTATGAATTGCAATTCAACTCAAACAAAACTTTACAAGTTGGGCAATTTCTAACGGCTACCAATTCTGTTATATCAGAATTAGAAAACTATGGATTAATAGTTATCCATGGTCGCATAGATCGCCGCGGTGATATCAAAATATTGGACAAAAGTAAAACATATAGCGAAATAGCAGTAAACTTTATGACTGAATTAATTAGCAACAGGACAGAAAATTATTAGGCACGAGTAAATTAGTCTTTTTATTGCTGCCGCCACTCCTTTCCTCTTCCTGCGCGTTCTAAACTTCCTTCTATTCCATCTTCTCAAGCGTCTTAACGAGCACTTCGGTTTTTTGCTCAAAATATGCCTCATTCTTTGATTTGGAGTTGGTGGCGTCTCGCATTTTAGCGGACTCCATCAATTGTACCCTAGAGGCAGTACTTCCAGTTCGCATTCTAACATTTGAAACATTCGAAGCGAAATTTCCTTTTACAATTGCAAAGCAGTGTGGTGATCGATTAATTGCAACCTCTGGTGGAAATTTACATCCATGTCTTGGATGCGTCTGCGTGAATAAACTTACCATATCTCTTCGCAATGTATTTATATCAAGTCATGTTTATTTTCCCTAAGTCCAATTATTAAGAATCATGTTAGATTTATTGTTCTTAGTAAATGTAATTGAATTCTTCATGCACTGGAAAATTTTGCTTCCAAAACTGATATCTGATGTTATTTGATCTGTCAAAATGACATTATATTGGTAGAAGAATGAATGCATGTATGTTCTAACGGAGATAAATTTATATTTTTAGTCTGTATCTTTTATGTCAGGTTGTTGTATGTTAAGCGAGCCGAACTTTATTATAACATTTTTTAATTAATGTTAAATTGAAATGAAATAACGACAAAAGTTAATGGACATTGTTTTGAGTTAAAAAACTATGGTAGTAAATACTGTTGAAGAGCCACACAGCAACTTCTGTTTTCTACAAACGAGCGGGCTTGCCACAGGAGGATTTAAGAGGAAGTATGAACTTACATTTCCGTTAAGTGAAGTTTAACATGGACTACTCGATGTAACAGGCTTTACATATGCTCTATAGAGGCAATTAGAATCCTGGCAAACACTCCCAAATTTTTCGCTACTAAAATAAAAACATGTCTGGTTTAACGACAACAGTATTCGTTTTTGCATAAATGGGCACGTTCCTGCGGGAAAGTACCACGACGTCACTGAAAATCGGCGTGAAATGGAAGTGTTATACTTCTGCGTTTCGTCTGATGAGTGAGGTAACCGAAGCCCACATTATTAAATGCTAGTAACGCATTTGCAACCCTACGAGTGTAGCAAATGCCCATGGGCGGCGGCTATCACTTAACATCGGGTGAATGTTGAGACTCTATCAGTCCCATATGAACCCCATATTTATATCTCCTAGTCGCCGAATAAAGTTAAATTCTTCATTCACATCAGAAACTGTGTAATTATTTAAGAACAGCCGAAGCCTGGCAGCATTGATATCACTACTGTTTCACGAACATTGTAAACCTCGCAGATAAATATTTGTATTATGATGAAAATTTCGTACTCTTTTTTGATCGATAAATGATTCATGTACTCCAAATTTTGCACAAACTTGCTGTTATTAATGTTTTTTCATGAGTATATAAAATAACTTTATTTCACTCGCAAATCAGACATTGTAACCGACATAATCAGTTGTTCTTACAGACAATAAAACGTATACATAAAGCTCTCGCGCTCATACTAAGCGCTATTTTTTTGTCTGGCTGATGAAATATATTTTTTTATTATTCGTCCAAATCACAAAAATCAAGCATTTAAATATAACTAAAGTTCATTTTCTCTGTGCTTTAAAGCGCCTGTCAGAAATAGTCGTCAGCGGAGTGTCTGGTGATAGTGGATACTACTTTAGAGTGATATTTTACTAAGCGTTTTTAAAGTCAGCCATACAAACTTTTTATCGATAGAGAATCGTCAATAGTTAAATAATTATTATGTTAAAATCGGTGCAAACCTCTAGACTTCGTGAAAAAAATTACATTTTCAAATTTCGTGAAATGGAAATCCACCATTACTTTTTCTACAACAGATATTTATTATAGGCTTATATTTTAAGTTTTACCGTTTTTACTTTTTAGGAGACAATAGTAAACTGATATTATATCACAAACAGACATTTCTAGATAGAGTTCATTTATTTACACTGACTGATAGGTTTGGTTCTTTAGGTGTATTTTCAGTAGTAAAGTAAGTAGGTAACGAACGATTATTTTTACATTATTCGCCTGAAACTCGGACAATAAATGTATTCTATTCGTCCGTTTAGCGGACTACTAGCAACAGCCAAAAACATCGTTCCAAATCCTAATAGCTTTATTCTCAAAAATACTAATGACTGCACAAAGCAAAAGTTCACTTGTCGTCTTTCTCTTTCAACTTGTTCGACGATTCGGCGGGGTCCGTTGTACCTTTCTCTTTCGTTTTCTTTCCCTTGATCTTCTCCAGCTGCTCCCGTTGCTTTTTGTAGAAGTAGCCATCTTCCTGCGACGTGCCGTACTCGCCGAGGCTGCCACCAGACTCTCTTATCGATCCCCCGCCACCACCACCTTTACCAACTCCGGATCCTGGCTTACCAGTGTTTTGACCTCGTGTTTGGGTCGTATGCACTCCGCATGATATTTTATTCCCTAATAAATGCTCCTTCATAACAAGCCGATTGATAAAATAATTAATTTTTATAGAATTAATCAAATTTGATAAAACAGCGGTTGTCATTATAATTTTGATTTATATCATTTTATTAATTGACATTTGACAGGAATCTAAACTAGTGCAGATAATTCATCCACCTAGATGTGTATTTTAGTATTGTTTCTTAATAATCGCATGGTTTCTGCCAGTGTTGGATTTAATCTATGTTTAATATTAATAAACTTACTTATTTATACATTTAATACAGAATTAAATCATATTCTAATGAAGCAAATGTTTAATACTGGTGCCAATTTGCGTTCCAACTTATTATATTTTTTTAATAATAATAAAACATTTGAATCAAAATATTCTAAGAATATGAAGAAGTCAATAGAGATTTATGTATCGTTAGCTAGATGATGTTTTCACGATAACCACTTTTGTAAACCAAAATTTTACTTATCGCAGGGGAAACGTGATAACTAGCATATGTCCGCGACCTCGTCTGCGCGGATATCGTAACAGTATTAGCATGAAAATTATTTTACATCTTTAGGATGCATTTTTACTAAAATGCACAGGTTTTAGTTTTTAGCGCGATATATCAATTGATGTTTGTTTTCTAACTGATGAATAGAATTTGTAAATTAGGATACTTTCAAAAATATTCCATTACTTATCCGACACTTTAGAGGCGTATTGAAACAAAAAAAAATTATACATTATATATTCTCTCTCATCCTCTTGCTTGTGGTTAAGAAAATTAGAATCAATAAAATATCGCAGTAAACTGAGTAATATTCCTTTGACAAACCTCTTACGAGATGGAGCAACTCGTGCTTACCCCTATAATCGACTAAAAGATATATATAATCTACCTAAAAAAAGTGTATGCATAAATAAAACCGTTTAAAAACTTTTAAGTTAAACGGTTTTATTTTATGTGCCCTGAAAACTACAATATTGTATTGTCATCTAAATTAAATGTGTGTACCAAATTTCAGATCAATCTGACAACGGGAAGGTGCTTAAATTTCAATTTCTAATTTTGACCCAAATAAATAAACAAATTCCGTACGGGACGAGCTAAATAAAACCGTTTAACAAAAATACAGACAAGCTCTCAGACAGAGAGACAAATTATAAAAACGCCTGTGTGAACAAGATCGAAAACGTAACGTGCAATTAAAAATGGAAGCTAAGTTGCGTTGCGAGCTTTTCTTTCCAAAACAAATACCTTCAAGCCAATATTTTTGTTTCTATTGATAGAATTTCCTAAACCTGTCTCCGTGTTCCGATTTCTACATATGAACGAATATACAAAAAAGTACATGTAAGATAAAAATATTTTCATTCAGTTCCATGAACACTTGCGTATAGATCCCCAGATATGAACCCTAATTATTTCTAACCACAAGTAAGATAAAGTTTAATGATTTTGATAGTTTCATGAACATCACTATATAGTATAAAACAAAGTCGTCCCGCTGTCTGTCTGTCCCTATGTATGCTTAGATCTTTAAAACTACGCAACTGATCTTGATGCCTTTTTTTTTACTAGATAGTGATTAAAGAGGAAAGTTTATAAGTATAAAACATTGAATCCGTGCGATCCGGGGCGGTACGCTAGTTTACGTATGAATTAGTCTCCATAATAGTTTTGAGTGACATTGCGAAAATGTTCCGAAACGCGCTTCGATGCTTCAGTGTCAGCGTTTGAAAGGGACAGAACTTAGAATTTACTTATTAGGCGGAGGTAAATGTAAATAACTTTAACTCCAGCGTAATTCAATTAAAATAAATTTTAAACGATAGAGATAAATCTCTAATGAATTAATCAACAAGCAGAATTTGGCGGTCGCTTATAGTTTTCGAGAAAAAAATATTTAAAACTTGTTTTTTGTACTAAGAAATCCACCATTTTATTTGTTTGACTTCAAAAACTCAATACACAGTTCTGCCAACATGATAAATATAGGAAACGGGCGACATTATACACGTATCGATATTCCGATTTTTTTTAATTTAATGAGTCACAGAACCGACACAGAGCGAATCACACTATTTCATTATTTGTTTTTTCGAAAACTATAAGCGACCGCCGAATTCTGCTTGTTGATAAATTCATAAGTGATTTTTCTATCGTTTAAAATTTATTTGATTTGAATTACGCCGGAGTTAAAGTTATTTACATTTACCATGTCGGCAATAGCAAAATAGAAATCAAAGCTTATTAACGGTATTTATATACATTGCATTGTCCAGCAGTCGCTATACACCAACATTTTGATATAAACACATACCTGTGGAAACCCGCAATCCTTTATAGCGAAGCTGGAAACTCCGTTCGTTTCCGAATCATTTTCCTGCATTCTGAAGAATGATAATTTTATTTCTAAATAATTTTATTGAGTGCTAGTAAAAATTTTAACTCTGACGAGTACATTTCCCGCGATTCACTTGTCGTCCTTCTCCTTCTGCGATATTTTCAGCGATTCGCCTGAGTCCAACTTCTTTTTTATCTTCTTCAGTTGCTCGAGTTGCTTTTTGAAGAAGTATCCCTCTTCTTGCGCTGCCCCAAATTGTCCAAGGCCGCCTCCAGACTCCCTCACAGCTCCACCACCCCCACCCCCACCCCCTTTACCAACCCCAGACCCAGGTAGGCCGGAGGGGTAGCATTGAATTTGGCACATATGCATTCCATTCGCTTTAATTTCATTCCTTAACAGAGACGCCTTTACAGCACACCTTTTCAATTGACTAGTCGCATTCGATACGACCGCATTGGCGATTATCATGTTTTTTTTTATTTAATTTATTATTTTAATATTGTACAGATATCGGAAGTTTAGCAGCTATTTCATTCACCTTGACATTGATTTAAAATTTGTTTTTTACTTATAAAGTGACAATAGTTGAAAAGTTTCGGCCAGTGTCAACTTTGTGTGTTAATGTGTGACCAAGTCAAGAATTTTATATATATTTTACTGAATGTTGACCTTAAAACCTTATGTCCTGTCTAGCTCTGCTATTGAATTCGATTTTCTTAACATATATAAACTGAAAATAAGCGACATAAATTTAATTATTTGCACAATTCATACGAAATATGTATATTATTTAATTAGTGGTAAAAAGTTATATACTCACACTAATCCTACATATGGTTTGGGTCATACACCAGCCTCGTAAAACCGCAAACTATCCTTTTAAACTCCGTACCCGTGAACAAAATAAGAAACGCAATTGTATTTATTACGTTTTACATTTGTTCTTATCTATCCCAAAATAATCAATAACCAAACGCGTCAACTGCGATATACGAATGGCAAAATGTCTTATATGTTCAAAGAGGGAGGCCTATGTTCAACAGTGGACGTCTTGCGGCTGTTGATAATGATGATAATCCCAAAAGATTGTGTTAGCCGAAAATATAAAATTATATAACTCCCTATTCTGACTAATAGGGTGACTGCACTGAAAAGTTTTTATTTCTACACTTTTTTTTTTATTTTGAACTGACCAGCACTTGATTGCCATCCCATCTGATGGTAAGTGGCGATGCAGCCTTTGATGGTAAGCGCGCTAGCTCAGTAAAAACCTTTTCACTCTTGCCTTGAAGACGCCTACGTTGTAAACTAGTAATTACCACCTACTTTCCTCGAAGTAACGTAGTAGATAGTTTGTGCAAGCAGAAGGTTGCTTTTATCCAAATACTGCGAGTTCGACATGGAAATCTGTAATATTAACGTCAAGAGCATGAATAGCAAAGATAAGAGCCCTGAATCTTGTGGGCCTTAAAATTTAAATGAATCTCTTCTAGAGCAAGTCGTTGTGGCATATATTGCCTTTATACATGATAATGGCAATATATGCCACAACATTTATACATTGCCAGTATACATGCTTCGTCAGGCAGTTTATTCCGTTGAGACAAAGTCGCTCACTCAAACAACGATTTGGTTTCATTTAAATTAAGTTGTTGGAGTAGACACAGGACTTCAACTTGTGAATTGTTCATATGACTGCGTTTGTATTAGTGTTTGTGTTAGTTTCTACGACTACATAGAGAGATTTGACGGATTGTTTGGCATTTAATGACTACTACTATGGCGTTATGTACAGAAAATACTAATCAGTAATTGGGGTTTTTAACGTTTAATAGAAAGTGCTCAAATTGTTTATACATATGAACTTTAATACCAGAGGTATCGCGTCCCGAATCGGATCGAGAGTATTTTTTTAATGTGACAAGTCGCCAAATAAGCGGCGGTTCGATAAGTTGACAACCTTTTGATGATTAGGCTCCGGCTACCTCACTCACCAGACGAAACGCGGAAGTATTTGTTATACTTCCACATGAGGTTGTGGTACTTACTCGGACGAGCCTGCCCAGTTAATGTGCAAAGCCTATCTATTAACAGGTTTAAGAAATTTATTAAAGAAAAACTCTTTAAAAAGGGTTATTATAATATAAATGAATACATTAACGATAATAACCCCTGGGAATGAGAAGATCGCTCCTAAGCTGTTTCTAAAAAAAAAATATATATGTACTGTATAACTATGTATTTGTTGAGTAAAAAAAATGACAAAAAAAGAGGATACCTACGGAGTTTCTTTCGCCTGTTTCTTCTCCGTTAGAGGAACCTCATTACGAAACGGTGGTAGATTTAAAAAATGACTATCAATAAATGAAATGTATATTTCTTATTTCGATGAATAAATTATTTGAAATTTGAATTTGAAATTCGTGCACAGCCGAGGCTGCTGCGTGGCCCTACCACAGTGAAGTAGCTATCAGTAGTGTAGCTATCAGTTGTTAATTTGACTTTTTTCTACCGACAATACATCGAAGATCATTCGGAAGGTAAAAGGATCGATATCCGTACAGCTTTTGCTTGCGCAAGTCAAGCCAACTTTTCAATTCTTTAACAGCTGGTGAAATATCGAAATGCAGGCAGCCGATCACTTAACCAATTTCGCCAGCTCAAACCTACACGACGCCTTAAGTTTGCCTTCGGGAAATGTCCGCCCAGCACGGTTTTAGTATTTATTTACATAGGACAATTATGAATGAACTAACTGAATTAAACTCATAATATGTTTCCATTAATTCGACGTTCATAACTTCATACACATCTCCATGTATTATTTTTGAGAATGTTAATATATATAGGTTATATTGCTTTGCCGTTTGTTGTCTTGGTCAATCACACGGTCCGAGTTCATGAAACATCACGAAGGAATCTAGGATCGGAGAGGACTAGGTTATAAATCCTATTTCAACATGGCCTTTAATACTTAATTACAACTCTTTGTAACTAAGTATTAGAGGTATTTTTATTAGAGGTATTTAGAGCTATTTTACAAGCCGTATAGGTACGCCTTGGCAGATTGAAATAAGAATAATCTTAATTGTGACACAGTTACTTAAATTCAAGAGGGTCTAATAACTCAATTATAAACAATGAGTTACCGCCAGTAAGCAACTGCAACTGCGATTGATTTATTTAGGCTTTTCTAGCACACATTTGTGTACACGGATTCATGACAAAACATGTCCAATAACATTTGTGGACTTGCAAAAGTGCGAAATAAAATCAGTTAGCAATTAGCGTTGAAAATGTTTCGCTAATGTTTGTTGAAATCTTAATTGTCGTCAAAGATTCAGCACGAGAATTCTCGCCACAATGCGATTTGCTATGCTTTAATGAAACAATTAACGTTGCCACACTAATTATTCATATTATTTGTGCAGTATATAAAGGAATTGCACGTTAAGACTGTCAGTACAAAGAATAGTTTTGTGATATCCATAATGGAATTAACAAAGGTCAGTGCATACAAAAACAATACCTAGTTAAGAAATTAGAAAATACTCCATCACAAAATTCAAATCAGTGTTCATCTGAAAAACATGCATAAGGATATTTAATGATTTTTATGTATAAAACAAGAAAACACTCTGTTAAAACCATTTTTTGTAATAAAAGGTTTTACAATTAACGCCTTATTACTTTTATTTTAGCTAATTCTTCTGTTCTGCTCAATCTTGGTGTCTTTCTGTAAAGGGTAATTATATTTTTTCATATCTTTCTTCTTAATCGATAAAAATATAGTACTATTTACCTAAATGGTTCTTTATTTCAGCGAACAAACATTTGTAGCCGATATTCAGAAGCAATCGAACCAGCTTTTGGGACCAAGCAGTATATCTCACAATTATGGTTATTTTAGAAGAGTTAACAGGATGACAAACAACCTTCATCAATGTTTTTGCTTCCTGCAGAAACCAACTGGTTCACCTGTTACAAAGAAATTGAGCCCAAACGGTGAATCTTTGGAAAGATTAGTCGTATATCTATATAAAGATGCGTCCTCCAACGAAATAAAGATATATTTGCCCAATTATGAAAAACAACTTATGATACCTGATTTAGTATTGGACGAAGGAGATATTTTGGAACCACTGCCATCAGTCGATCTCGAGTTTATATTTAGTAAACACTCATATCTAATAACGAATCACAGGGATATCGAAATTCCAGATATAGCACAAATTATAGATCCAGAATCTTTTAATTGGAACCGACCAGGTCTTGTGAACATTATAAAAGCCAGTAACTTCATACCTTTCGATAATGAAGAAAATCCAACTACTTCTAAGGATACATTAATTTATAGTGATGATGTAAACAACGAGCAACTTTCAAACATACATCCCCAACAACCAGACATACTGAATGAAAATGAAATAGACAGAGTCGAAGACGATGATGAGAATATATCTGAGGAACTAGATGTTACTCTTGCTCCACAATACACAAACAATATTACGGAAAATGAAACCGAAAATATAAATCAAGTAAGTCAAGAATTAAATCAATCACATGAAGATTTAAATAATATTACCGAAGACGGAACAGAACAACGGGACCAAGAACCTGAGAAAGTTGATGTCATGCCTGAAAATCATCATTTAAACCATGAAGCAGACGTATTTAATATGTTGCCAAACGACGACATTGAGCCTTACGGTTTGAATAATGTTCAAGACAACCAAAATCAACAGCCAAATATAAATATAGAGGAAACGACTAAGCCTAATCAAATTGAAGTTTTTAATGTATTGCCGAACCTACAATCTGAAGAAATCCTTAATCCAATAAAAGTTACGACTATACTCCAGACACTGTGGAACAGACAGATAATGCAACAATGCAAGAATTTACTGATTCATCCAAAACTCCTACAACAAATAATCCTATAAACACTTATACACCACCGTATATCATTATTAACAAACTAAAACCTAAAGATATTAATACGCCTATTTCCATCGATTTTACTAAAAAAATTATGAGCCCTGTTGAACAGAAAGTCCTAGATAACGTGCCAAAACAACAAGCAAACATTTGGTATAACAAATTACAAAATCCTCACGAAATGTCCATTTTCACTTTGCATCCGAATAATTTAATAAAAAAATATTACGGACAGAGGCCCAATGGAGTCAGTGAAATAAGTTTTCACGATACATTCGACAATTGGCTTAATCAGCAATTGGAGAAGGTTCAATTCGCCGATTCTGAAGCGTCCAATTCAATAGATATATTCACCTTTAAATATTTGATTGAGGAAACTTTGCGAAAAATCGGTTTCTTCATTGCTGAGAACGGTGTACTCGTTGATTCAAATGGCATTGAATTGGACACTGCCAATTTAGTTCTCCGTCCGATTTTAATAGGAAACTCTGTACAATACCAAAAGTTGTTGAAGGGCAAGGTCGGAACATTCAAATTGCCAACGGATTTGCCTTATTTAGAAGCAGTACTGATCACGTCGATCAAACCACAGAAGATACTGGGAATAATACCACTTGGTAAGACGTATTTGCCTAAGCGCTATCGGACTCCGCTCTCGCTGTACATCGGAGATGCAGCACAAGGCGGATGCAACCGTTGTGACGTGAAGAAGTTATTTCTCACTAATAGAACACCCCCTGGGAACAGTCCTGAGCTTGCTGGGCGCTTTTTGAGCTGGAACAGGCCGAAAGGTTTGAAAGCGTCAAGGAGTAAACTAACTTTACCAAAAACGCAACGCTATGGCGTTCACCGTATCGTATCTCGTCCTTTTCAAATTTCAAGGACACCAAATCAAGGCACAAAGTCAAGCCGCAGGGTGTTCCCATTCGATCAGATCAATACAATCATAGACAGAGTCTACAAGGTGCCACTGATCCAGGACGAAGTGCGAGTCATAAACACACCGCAAACATATGTGTTAGATTACAACCCGAGGCCTTTATTGACAGCGCAAACTATCCCCACTGTTCCTATACTTAAATTACCCGTCGGTTTCAAAAAGGCGACTCCAGGTTTTCGGATTATCGGCGGAAATGCAGCGACCAGCAGTGGAACTCCAGTAAGCAGCAGAGGCCGCTCTGGTATCGACCCTGAAGATTTAACAAACATTGATGTCGAATAAAAAGACATTTTACTCTAGAAACACGCCTATAATAATAGTAAATTTTTAATTACTTTCCCATCCAAATTAGTTTAGTCAAATATAGACATTGCTTGCGGTTATAACGAATTCTTGTAAAATTTTTGTATAATTCTTATAAATTAAACATATAAACTAACATTACGGACATTTAAATAAAGAAATAATTCACTCTTAAAATTAATTTCAGTAAATACCACAGCGACATCTACAACAAATAATGAGAAAATAGACCAAACTGATAACAGTTTATTTTTTAGAAAGGGGAATAACATTTTTCTAATAAATAAATTTACGCTCTTCATTTTAGTTAAAAAAACTTAAAACTGGCTATTATTATTAATATACAATAATATATGTTAACCTTAATAGTAGTTGATAAATGCTATTTTCAACTATGCATAAGTCGTAAATGTAAAAGTATGGTATGGATGCTCTCTAAAATGTTTTAACTAAATTGTCAAAAATTTATATATCAAAGTAAAGTTTAAATTGAAATTCAAGATGCCATTAAAATCGTTATATCGATAATTTTTAAATTTACCAACAATGTAGTAATTATTGCGCCCTCTATTTTTAATATACGACCTTTGTTATTTAGATAAAATTTTATTTCACAAGCTTACGATATAAAATAAGATGGTACTGTTGCACGTTCTCGTTCAATAGAATGTCACTAGATGGCGCTTTCTACAAATATTTTTTTTAACTAGATGGCGTGAAATATTAATCTAAATAACATGATTATTACCACGATTTAAAACATTATGTATTTCTTTAAAGGCGTTTAAATTGTAATATAATTAAGAGAACAGAAACAATAAGCAGCCTTCGTGAGTCATCCGTAATCAACCAAATCAAGTAGAGCAAGTTTAGGTCAATTCAGTTCAGCAGCAGTCAGTCACTGCCAGTGACCGAAACAGGTTGTGGTAGAAGTTCTTCAATCTTACTCTAAAAATATCCCGTAACCGCCGCTTAAAACAATGCGTATCTGATAATAACAGTAATAATGAAAGTATCAAAAGGTTGAAAACAAATAGGTTTTTGCATAGCAAACCTCACAATTGGCTAGTTTATATAATTCAAGTTATGTCGGTTTGTTTAACATTCATGTAATAAAGTTTAATTCTCTGTAAATTCGCGGTATTTTAAAGCAGTGTTGCATTGTTTGTGAATGGTTTACATGAGGCTCGTGTTCTTTATGGGAATATGCTGACTTTTTTACTACAAATTCTTCAAAAATATTTTTGAAATTGGATGGGTTTGCACTACTGGTAAGTTTTTAAGTTTCTTTTTTTTTTTTTTTTTCAACGAGATGTAAATTGTAGTTGTTAATTTAATGCACTGTAATCGTGTCAATGTAATGTAACGAATAAGCTTATAAACGAATAGTTCTTAAGTTGTTTTATTTTTATTTATAAAAATATGACATTAATCGCCTGGTTTGAACTTTGTATTGATTTAGCATAAGAAAAACTTGTATCCCATTAAAATACCTGCGACCATGTGAACGCAGAGAGTGGCTTTTTAATCAAGGATGTAGCCGTTGTTTCAAAGAAAGTAATAAATTAAAGAGTAGAATTATCAAAAGCGAGGTATAATAGTACTAAATATCAAGTATTTATTTTTATACCTTTTGCTTTTTATTTAGCTCGCATACACAATTTTAAGTTTAAGATGACGAGATGACCATGACGGATGTCCGTTACAGTCAGACCTTGTAGCTTACATCGGTTACCTTTGCAAATTGTAATTTTGTATAGGGTTGCGCAGAATATTATTTTCAATATGTACTATGTTAATTTTAAGATAAATATCTCTAACGACCAATTAATCAACTAACCAACCTTAACGTAAACTGATTACCGAGCTTAACTTATATAAAATAGTATTTATATTATATCGGATACCCGCAACCCGCAACTTCACCTACGTTTTTTATTGTATTTTATCTAGGGCAGCAAGAAAATAGACATCACTCAAAGCAGTGCTGAAAAAATCGTGGTTTCTTAAAACTAATATTCTTCTTGATAACTTTACATTAAATGAAAATTGAACTATTATTTAGCGCGCACAATAGTGAGAGACTAAATAATTATATTTCTTTTAAGAGAGTACTGGAGTTCTTTTTTAAATACCTCATTGTAGAATGGCCTTTTATAATATGCTACTTCACGATGTTCTTAACCCTGTGAATTTATAATCGTTTTGTAAAATCTTTTGTAGATGTACGCGCAACCTTGTAATGTCATGAGTTAGTTTTTCGTAGAAATACTAAAACGATTTAGAATTAAATATGAGTTGAATAAGCTTCAAGGAGGACAGACAATTATCAAATTAATAAAGAAGAAAAAAAATTAATGTTGGTAAATTTTATTATAAAGAAGTAAAACGAGTAAATTTAATCTTTTTCAACTTTACAGTGCACCATGTGAAATGTAATTTATATTACTAATCTTATTTTAAGTCTCTTCCCTAGACTGTTTTATACATACGCCATACACTTTTTTCGCGAGTTTTTCTTTTTTTCATACTACCCGCATAGTATTAAACAATGGGGCTGCAAAATATTGTATTACAGACGCTGTGTTTTATATATATAAGAAATCCTTAGTACGATCATCATAAGCTTGCAAAAGTCTTAAAACAGCACAATGTCAACATACGAGTAATTTTGCGAAAATGTCAGATGGTTCAAATAATCATTATTGGGTTTAAAGGTTCGTTTCAAAAATCGTTTTCTATTAACATCATACTTACAATCTGCTAACTCAAACTTAACTTTTTCGATAATCAAGAACGAGGAATAACGAAATATACTCTACTCTGAACTGTGAGTACAAGCGAATCTTCTTTACATTTATCAAGACATCTTTTGTAGTACCTACCCAACTATAATATATTTTGGTACAAATGCCGGGTGAGTGCATTTGTGTTTTCTTTCCTACTGTTATCTAACTATCGCTAATGACTCGTTTGTGAAGTGTCTTAAGTAAACATTACCTTATCTTTTTTTTTTACCCAGAAACACCTTTTCTTACTCTCTTTTTCCCTTGGACTGATAATTTTACTCACCATCCAATTTCCGTATAAAACTTTGCTTTTGGAAACATCACACTTACACAGGATGGAAATTTTGTCACGTTACAAATTTTGCGATTTAACCAAACAGGTATCAATTATTGTCGTTAAGTTTTTATATGTTTATTTAAGGCGCTTGTCATAGGTTACAAGAAGTGTTATCAGTTCCTATATGATTTTTTTTATAAATCGAGCGATGGGCCTACGCAAGGTAGAATATAAGAATTCTATGAAATATTGAAAAAAAATATCTGACACAATTGTCTGGAAACAGATTCTGCTTTTTGATTTTAAAAAAAACGTAATTTACTCAATAGACTTGCTAAAATGCATTTAAGTTTACGTTTCGTCATTGTTAGCTTGCAACTAGATTTAGAATGAATTTGATTAATGACTACATATCAAAAGAGAATTAGTTAATCAACAGTAAAGAGTTTTAGGCCCCTTGACGTTGGTAGTTTGCTGCCATTAGCTATTGCTAATCCATGTTAAGTCTAATTAATCTATTGCTAAATAATCATACCATATTTATGATTGTACTATAAGAGATATAAATATATCCGTATTTTTGACTCAAAAGATTTTTAGCCTGTGTAAAATATTACAGTGACTTATTGAGTCATTTTAACAAATCCCAATTCGTATAAACCAAGTCTGAAGAAAGCGACTGTCAATATGTCTGCAAATACCGTCTGTAAAATTTATCGTAACTTTACCCGTGGCAGTATGCGAGGACTATTCAAAGCGAAATAATTTGATAAAACGTTTTTTTGAGTATGTCATTAGCCAGCTATGTTATTAATTAAACGTATATGAAGCTTGTTATTTCAGTTTTATTTTCCTTTTCAAATTTTCCTCAGCGTGATAACTCATTTTTTATGTTTTATAATTAAATTACCTAAATTCCTTTCGATATCAATTACGAGCACTGTAAAATTTACCCGCCAAAAATTTTTGGAAGTTACTGGAAGGACTATCATTTCCCGTTCGTTTTTCTATTATACACCGCATACATCATGTAGCATATATCATGATATTATGTGTTCATAGTGAATCACTTATTCATTTTTTTCTAGAAGTTTCTTTCATTATTTTAATTTTTTTTAATAGGAGAAAGGGTACAGACTTGCCCTATCGTTATACATTAATATAGATTGTTTGTAGACAATCGTGTAAATAACATAGCATAGGTACACTGCAAAAGGTTAGAGAACATTAATTGGCGACTTATCACAAATTGATGGCGTTCTTGGGTACCGACATGAAATGTAAATTGAATATGTAAAATGAATATAATATTGAAATGTTGAATTACCAATGAGTAATTTTCAAAGCGAACGTATATCGGTCACCTAATATATGTTTTTAGGGGTCCGTAGCCAATGGGTAGAACGGGAACCTGTTACTAAGACTCCGTTGTCTGTCTGTCTGCCCGTCCGTGACCAAGCTGCATCTCAAGAACCGTGATAGTTAGACGGTTTTTCACACATGATGTATTTCTTTTGCCGCTATAACAACAAATATTTAAAAACAGAATAGGTAATTAGGTGGGGTTCCCATATAACAGAAATGACTTGTTTTTTCGTTTTCTTTTTATGAAAGTTTACTTTTAAGGCAGTAACTTTCAATCGCCGTATTCTTTAATCATACTAAGTAAATCGGTACTAAAGACTACAAAATTTTATTTGCTGGTATTAACCGTCGAAATTCGGTTTACAATATGATAAAAGAAATAAAAAAAAACTTGCCAATGAATCGTAAAATGTGTGCCAATGTCGATCGAAATGATGCCATTGCTGTATGGAGAAATCCCAAACCGTTAAACTATAATAATTTAAAAAATATACCATTTAAACCTGTTTTCTCATCCGAAAAAATGTCACCCGTATACTACACGA